GATTTCTGCTACTGTTCTCCGATATCAGTCAAATACGCATTAAGCTTTCTTTTCTGTACCCGTAATTGAATTAAAGCAAAAAAAGACTTAATATCCACATATCGTCATTTCTCAGCCAAAGACAGCAATTTTCGTTGACCTTTTCACGGTTACTTTGGGACAACACGTATGACTTAGATTGGCTTGGGTGATTTTAATATTCTGGTTATTCTTGCTGTTTTTATAGTTTTGATCATCGGGATTTCCACTGCTCATTTAGGACCTTTTGTAACTAAAGGGAGACAACGATACTTCAAGTCTTCATTCGGTTTCGAACGCTCGTCAAACTTAAAGAAGGAAAAGAGCCACAAATGTATTTGATTCAAAAATTATAAAAAGTTCATTTTTCAACGGTACATTTAACCAAATATCACTTATTTTAACATACGTTTAATGAAAAACCTCCGAATTATTTAAATTTGGTAACTACGTTGGAGATACTACGAAGAAAATTCATTTTGACTAGTTTTTATTTGAAAAGAAATTAATCTCGAGCTCGAATTCTCTTACGATCACGATTATTTTCTTCTTCACAAGGAGAAGAAGGGCGACGAGGAGAAGAAACAAGACGAGGGGAGGAAGGACTAGGAGACGAAACAAAAGTCGCACGGGGGGAAGGAGAGGAGGGAGGGGTCAATTCAACCCCAAACAAAGCAAAAGAACCAAAAGACAAGCCGGGGGACCCAGGAGCCGAGGAACAGACGGGAGAAGCAGAAGCAGAAGCCAACACAGGAGAAGCGGGAAAAGAATCCCAACCGAAAGAAGCAGGAACGGACGGCACCACTGGAGAAGGGGGAAAAGAAGGCCAAGCAAGAGAAGCGCAAGCTGGTGACAAGACCGGAGAAGAACGAACGGAAGAACAGCCGGACGAAACAGGAACAGAAGTCAAAGAAGGCAAAGGTGGAGAACCACCAGAAACACCAGAGCCGACTGATGCAACAGGAGCAACAGAAAAAGAAGCGTTATCCTCGCGGGAGGAAGAAACCGCAGGAATGGCGTTATCCCCGAGAGGGAAAGAAACCGCCGAGGATGCGTTATCCCCAATTAGGGAAGAAACCGCAAGAGGAGAAACGGACAAACAGGGAGCAACGGCAGAGGGACATACATCCCCACAGGCAACAGACGAGGAATCACAAGAAAGAGAACCAGAATTATTTACAAGCCATGCTTGTGTCAAGGCTTCACATCCGAAAGCAAAAGAAGGTGCGCGAGAACGGACGGGAAGGACAGATGGAAAAGCAGGCAAAGAACCATCACTTAGACATGGCATGCCGACCACGCAAGCACAATCCAAAGAGTAACATTTTTTTTCCTTCTTTGTGACAGTTGTCACAGAAGGAACAGAAGAAAAGGGTCGACAAACGGAATCCTCGGGGGGAGGAGCAACAGCAGGAGAAACAACAGGCAAAGGAGTGGTCTGAGCAAAAAGCTCAGGGTTGTTTCTGAAGGTGGTGAGAGGTATAATACCTCTACCAAAACAGACGTAAACATCACCGATTGGCTCGGGTGCTACACGAACATGATTTTTGTCACCAATGACAGCAAGCGAAGAAGATGAAAAGAACCAAATCATTTTTTCCCAAAGGAAAAAGAAAAAAAATTTGGTCCAAAACCAGGGAAAAGCCAAAAGGAGAAACGCCGAATGTGTTAATTCACACAACAATCTATTAAATGTCAACATTAGAATCGTGTTTATAGCATTAATATTTACTGATTTCGTTTTACTTACTCGTCAAGAAGAATATACGAGAGCATTTTTCCAAGAATCGTTAATGGGAGAAAGAGAAAAAAAAAAGACCCGCCGCTTTTTGAAAAAATAAAAACGAAAATTACTGCGCAACGTAAAATGATGATGTCATTAATTTTAGTCCTAAAAATCGTGTTCGGAATCCAAATTATTTTATTTCAGCAAAATCATAAATTATTTTTTTAATATTCACGTACAAAAAATTCGGCTATCGACTTTCCATTTACGATCTGGAATGCACCAATCTCTTAAAATAGACAGAAGAATGACAGACAGAAAGATGACATAAAAGTTTTTAAAAGCTAAAAAAAGGTATCGAAAAGCGGTCATATATTTTATATAAAGTCCGTTCATCAGATTGTCGAACTTTTTCGAACTTCAGTTGGTAATTGTTTGAAAATGACTAAACCAGGTCAATTGCTTTGGTCAGCTTTTATATACTATCAAAAAAGTTTTAGTTTTACTTGCATTTCTTTATGAAGACTGTAGCAAAAATACTATGAACGAAAAGTTCAAGAAGTACCTTTTATTGTCCAAAAAAGCATGCGTTCTTTTAAAGAAATTGACTGATCTTCCAATGTGTGAAAAAGGAATGACATTAAATTTGAAATGGCCACTTCAAAAATACTGTGTCACGGACGGAACAGGAACAAGACACAGAAACTACTTGGCGACACAAGGGGAGCGATTGGTTAAAATAAATATGTTTATTATTAAGTGGGGGAGGGGTTAGGACTAAGATACAGAATAACGATTTTCTAATAAGTAACTACTGTAACATCTATCTATACCATTTCTTGTATAGGAGAGAAACTACGATTGGTTTCAATTATAGATTTACAAGGGACTTTACGAAACAGATATCATAAGTAGATTATTGGCAAGGATGAGTAATTGAGATTTGATGAGTAGTAACAAATTGGATTTAGTAGACATTGAATAATATGATGGTTCGGGGAATATTTATGGCTTGACACGGGCGGGAAGACTGGATTAGGAATAAAAGTAAAAGATGATCGGGAAAAGGTTTACTAAGGTTGAGTCAGACAGGAAGCGGGAGTAATATTGAGAAGCAGATTAAGGATATGTTTTACAAGGAGTCCGGTGGCGGGCAAGATATACTGAAATGATTTTTGGTACAAGGTTTTACAGGGAGTTTCGTAACGGACAAGAGATACTGCTATTAATTTCTATAACAAGGTTTTACAAGGGATTTGAGATCATGGTTAAGTTATACAGACAATAAACAGGGCGAGTAAGTTCATGAGATGTTATAAAGGAACATGTTTTGCCTAAAAATGAACGAACTCTTCAATATAAGGCTTATACAATTGAAAATTTAAGCGATATTTTTTGTTCGAACTAGAAAAGTTGGAAATTAAAACAGACTGCTAATGTCGCAAACTTAAATTATCACACGGCACTCGAATGAAAAAAGCGAATGAGGATGCCCTGGAAGGAAATATACTTAGAATTAAAAAAAAATCTTGGCGCCATTATCATACTTCGCCCACTAGATAAAGAACATCAATTTTATTTGGTACGGTTTGATTATGAGCACGCTGATATAACAATCTAGATTGCTATGGATAACTTGACAACGAACTTTGAGTGTCTAGAATTGAAGAAAGCTAGAGTTTCCGAGCTCATGCGTGAAAAATGCGTCATAAGAATTTAAAATAAAATTGAAGTCGGTTGTTAAATGTAGACCAAGTGACTGGCGAGAAAATTGTTAGACGAAATGATATACCGAGAACTCCGTTCGCTAAAACTGTTTAACAGACTTTTGATTGAAAATAAAGATAATGTTTATTGAATGATAATTGATTGATATTTATATGTTTTTGATATGTTGCTGTAGTACTGCGGTTGTACTGCCTTCAAGTTCTAGTGTTGAATGATATACTCCGAATAAAGGTTATAACAAGGATATTTCAGATGACTTCACTGGTTTTACCATATCCGGGTGGTTAAGAGGAAAGACCAAGGTTCCTTTCTTGGAGGTGTTTCTTTATTTGATCTGCATGTATATTAGACCACTTCTTGTTGGTTTCAAGTTCATGTACATCGAAGCGGTCAGGAGACCGAACATTTGTTATCTGGAATGGACCACGGAAAGATGGAACAAGTTTGGGAGACCTTTTACCATCAGCACTCGATTGGACTGAAAAATCAATAAGCACCAGACTACCAAGTGGGAAATCAGGAGTGGTTCGATGGTTGTTAAAGGCAATGGCATTGTTAGCTTGAAATCTGTTGTTTTCGAATTGAACCAAGGTTAGAGCGCGACCAAGGAACTGTTTGACAAGTTGTTGATATTCTTGAGCTGGGATTAGCTTCACGCCGAAATCAGAAGTAGCTAGTGTTCTTGCTTCACGACCGTGGACAAGTGAGAAAGGCGAAAATTTAGTCGAGTCATGTATACTTGAATTAAATGCTAGTTGAAATTCGTTCAAGTGTTCATCCCAAGTGATTTGTTGGTAGTCGAGATCCATGAATGATACGATTAGATTTCGGAGGGTAGCCAAAAATCGTTCGACCAGACCGTTAGACTGAGAATGGTACGCAGGGTAGAGTTTCTTCTTTATTGACAAGTGTAGACAGATAGTCTTGATGAGAGTACTGGAGTACGGTGGACCGTTGTCGCTAAAGATTTGTCGAAATACACCAAGTTCCGATATGACCTTACTGACGCATTTGACAACTTGGATATCAGTGTTTTCAGGAATAGCGGTAATGATCACATATCTTGAGAACATACATTGAACCACAATAATGTACTTATTTCCAGATTTTGAAGCAGGTAGTGGACCAAACGAATCAATAGCAATAGTATCAAATGAATGCTCAGATGGATGCGAATGTATTTTGGAAGTAGAACCTGTAGTAGTATGTGAACGTTTGACTTTTTGACATACTTCGCTTGTGTTAGCCTTCCTTTGAACCCATTCTTTCTGTTTAGGAAAGTAATATAATCAACCGAATCGTTCCAGAGTTCTTCCTATTCCTAGATGACCAGTTGTTGGATTCGAGTGAAGTAACTCAAATGTATCTTGCATTAGTTATTGAGGTAGGACTGGCCGCGTGTTATAGAAGAGGTCACCGAACTCGTTGGAATAATGGAGAGGGAGATGCTGAGTGGAACGAATCTCTTGATAGAAACAGTCCGCGAATTGAGCAGCGACTAAATGGGTGGTAGATAGATTGCAGACCATTTCACGAGAGCCATCAGCAATGGGTGCGACCGGGTGACGACTCAAAGCATCGGGTCCTGCATTCTTGGAGCCAAGGCGGTAGATGATCCGAAAATCGTGTTGTTGTAGGCTAAGAGCCCATTGACCTAATCGACCACGTTAATCCGTGTTTTTGTTCTGCAAGGATTAAAGGGCTTGATGACCAGTTACCATAGTGATACGTGTGGCGGTGAGATAATGAGCAAACGTCTCGATTCCCCAACAATAGCCAAAGCTTCCACTTCTGAGACGCCATAGTTTTTTTCGGCAGGACAGAGAGAGCGGGAAGCGAAAGCCACAGCATACGCGCGATTGTTACTAGGATCACCTTGACACAAGATGACTCCAATACCAGCCGTACATGCACCATTCCTATGGAGTTCGAAAAGAGATGAAAAATTTGGAAACCGAAGAATAGGCCAAATGATTAGCTTTTGTTTCAGGATATCAAAGTCTTGTTGGTGTATAGAAGACCAGATCCAAGGGATGTTTTTCAGGAGGAGAGTGTCAAGGGGAGCAGATATCACCGAGAATTTACCAATTAAACATCGATAGTAGCCATCAAGACCGAGGAATGACCGCAGAGTTTCGACATTTGTTGGGATGGGGAACTCAGAGACTGCACGATTTTTTTCAAGATCAGAGTGTAGACCGGCAGGGGAAATCACGTACCCTAGGAAGGTTATCTTATTGCTAGCGAACTGGCAATTCTTCACATTGACCGATAGTTGAGCATTACGAAGTCGATCGAAGACAGCACCGAGATCTTGAATGTGTTGTTTAAAGGTCGGAGAGAACACCACGATGTCGTCGAGGTACACCAAGCAGAGTTTTCATTTCAATCCAGCTACACAACCAGTTGAAAACTTTAAATATTTCTTAAATTCTGCACCAAAAAGTAAATTCCCGTGTCAGAATTTTTTTTTAAAAAAATAAAACTTTGCGATTGGGCGAAAAAACAAAATACGTGATTGAAGGCCAGATGTTATGAAATAAACAACTGAATGAAGGTTTTGTGCACCTTGAAAACTACTTTAGCGTCTTTTATGGGGGTCAGGATAGCGATTCGTGCAGCTAAGCATTTTTATTGGATAACAAAATGGAAGAGACTTTTATTTTTTTTGAAAAAATGACATGTAAAAAAAACAAAATGATTAGTTTCTTTCATTTTCTAAAATTTTGAAATAACGATTAGTGTTATGGAGCCACCAGAAAGTACCGAACTTGCACTTGTTGATAAGAGAATACTTGACAGTGTCAATCTCAGTTTCCTGAGACATGTCAAGTAATTCCACCACAGTCAGTTTATACTTCAGCAAGTCCAAGATTTCTTCAGTTTTCTTGGTGAGGAGATTACCACCTTCGTCAGCTTGATAGACAGAAATGAGGCTACTGTCATCCTGAATCACGAAGGCTGGCCTGGGAACAAGTTCATACACCTCAACAATAGCCTGATCGCCGCAAAGTTTTACCACCTTTCCAAGCAGACGACGCGCCCCACGAGAATCCAAGTCAACATCGAGAATAGCCGTCATGTTCAAAGCAATCTTCTTTCCAGCAATATATTCAGTACTGCCGAATTCCCGATTAGCAGAATAGTACATGTCCTCACTGTACCTATCGAACCACGTTTTGACCAGACTACCACGAGTTTTCATAGCGTTATCCCAAATAAGACCCATCGCAATACTTCTCAGCATTACCTCACGACCGTTAATAAGAGCCAAATCACGAGAAGGGTTTTGTTTGTTGGTCTTCATGACAATTGCCCTAATGTGTTTGTTGAATTGCTCGTTCTTTTCAGTTGCGAGAAGCACAGGAGAAGCAAATCGAAGACAATCCTCTACCAAATGGACTATCAAATGTGTCTTTAAACGATTACACAATGGACCACCAGTTTTGGCGTATGGAATCGTAGCACCATTAGATTGTTCACCAGAAAGACCATAGATCTCTTCAGAAGTAGTTTGACTGGGCACTGATGCAGTTGTCGTTGCTGTTGCTGGCTCTCCACGAGTACGTCGGTTACTGGGAACAACGGTACGATCAAGGTTATCCAGAGCAATAACAGTATCATCAACGGATTGACGCAATAAATCGAGATAGGCATAAAAGTTGGTATGTATTTCACAGTTATAACACAATGAGCAAAGCTCACCAAGCTTGTCAAAAGTACTAATAACGTTATCCATTCGGTGGAATTGATCATTACGAAGGTTGAGGAAATCAATGTGGCCACGAGCAA